CAAGAAGGGACCCAAGATAACAAAAACTTTCAATTTCTGAATAAGTAAACTATGATTGACAAAATCAAATCCTTTACAGAAGCCAGTGTAAATACTGTCTACCTGACGTATTATCCATGGCATTTTGGATATACCGTATATAGTATATCGGATTCGATTCGATATTCCTTTTGCTCATGAAGCCAATTTGTCTAATTATTTTTTAGTTGATCAGTATTTAACCACTCGATGAGCTTTGGAATAGTGCTCAGTATAGAAATAGGATGATAGTCTCTGATGGCATGATGTAGGAGGATTTCCGATCATTAGGAAATGAGCCTTCACGTAATGATTTATCAATCTATAGATATTAAATTTGTTATATACATTTATTTACTCAATTTACAACTATTCAGCTTCGCTCTTCAAAGAATTTTCGATGTAGTTATCCATTGAAATACCTTCCTTGATTCAATTATTTGTTTAATTTTTGTTATCTAATGTCAAAACAGGTGAGACTAAGACTACCAAAGGAAATCAGAATTAGGTTTCTTAGCACGTAGTCTTCCATAGGTTCTACGTATGTAAAAATACATTGTCACAGTGGGAGCAAGTAGCAGCATAACTTGACTGAATTATTTTGTACCTGAGTTTACATTTTTGTAGTGCTCATGCTGGATGACAGCCATCCACAGAGAGCCCAGGGAGCGAAAGAGCGATGAGCCCTGCTTTAGAGCCTTCCTCCATAGTTTCGAACTGGAGGATTTCCTATTCTGTAGAAAGTGAACTAGCTGTCGAGAACACTGAGCAGAAGTTTTTTCAGTGACCTCATTTCCACCCTTAACAATGGATCGTCATTGAGATGCTTTGGATTATCCTGATGAGTCACAAAAGCATGTGTGCTTGCCTCCTCTTAAACATGTTGGTGGGTAGAACATGTTTCAATCTTGGTACTTTTGAAGGTAAGAAATTAGAACAAAGGAAGAAGTGAAATCACTCTGGGCAAATACCAAACTTGTTCTTCTTAGAAGAGATATGTCATGAGACTGAGTCACTCTAATCCACTTGGTGTAATGCCTATAGTGGTTCTTAAGGGAAGATCAAGGAGAAAGGAGGTTTGGTTTTAATGAGAGAAAATGTCATGCTGGATAGCAAAGGCTGCTCGGTGTCTTTTGAAGATGTAGATCTATCATCTAAAAACCAAACAAGTAAACTCTGATAGACACTCACACACTCTCTCATTTTCTCTCACTCCCACTCTCTCTCTCATACTCTGTCTCTCTCACAATTCAATGAATGCCTTATTTTCCATAGCAATACTTCCTTCATAATAATACCACCAGGCCTGCTCTTCCACCTGACCACACAAACTTCGCTACACTCCTTTCAATGTCTAGCAGAAAAAAGAGGTATCACTCAGGCGATTTTAATTTTGCTCACACTTCTTTTAGGTCTGAAGCTCTTTTATATACTATAACACTACAGCATGAACAACTGGTTTACTTCCCCTCTGATGGAAGGCCTATGAAGAATTTTTTCACCCTTAAAAATTCACAGCTTTGAACCCATGAACTTAAGTAAAACAGTTCCCTGACAATTACACAATAAAAGCAGCTCACCCGCTCGCCCACCCGCTCGCCCACCCGCTCGCCCACCCGCTCGCCCACCCGCTCGCCCACCCGCTTCGGCAAACCACGCCGCTCGCCCACCACAGCTCGCCGACCCGCTCCCCCGGCACCCCACGCATCGCCACCCGCTCGCCACACCGCCCGATGCCCACTCCCTCTCGCTCCCCTCGCTCGCTCCCTCCCCCCTTTTCGCTCGCTCCCTCCGCCCTTGCTCGCTCCCCCTCCCCCCTCCTTCGCTCGCTCCTCTCCCCCTCCTTCGCTCGCCCTCCCCCTCCCCTTCGCTCAGTCTGCCCTCCCCCCTTCGCGTCGCTCCTCCCCCTGCGCTCCGCTCCTCCCCCTCCTCGTCTCGGCTCATCCTCTCCTCCCTCTTCGCCAGTCTCTCCCTCCCTCCCTCCCGCCTTCCGCTCGCTCGCTCCCTCCCCCTTCGCTCGCCCTCCCTCCTTCGCTCGCGTCCCCTCCCTCCTTCGCTCGCTGCACTCCCTCCCTTCGCCCTCCCTCCTTCGCTATCGCTCCTCACTCCCTCACTCGCTCGCTCCACTCACTCGCTCGTCCCCTCCCTCTTCGCCGCTCACGCCCTCGCCTCCGCTACACTCTTTCGTCACTCACTCCCTCGTCTGCATCAGCTTCCGTCGCTCTCTGCTCCTTACACTCCCTCGCTCGCTCCTCACTCCTCAACTCGCCTCCGCGTCACTCGCTCGCTCCCCTTCAGCTCGCTCCCCTTCGCTCGCCCTCCCCTCCTCGCTCTCCTCCTCGCGTCCACTCCCGCTATCACGCTCCGTCACTCCCTCGCCTCATAATGCTCGCTCCTCCCTCGCTCGCCCTTCGCTCGCCCCCTTTCGCTCGCTCCTCCCTTCGCTCGCCTCCCCCCTTCGCATCGCTCCGCCCTTCGCATCGCTCCCCCTTCGCATCGCTCCCCTCGCCTTGCTCCTCCTCCTTCGCGCTCGCTCCTTCCCTTCGCTGCAGCTCTTCTCCCTCGCTCTCTCTGTCGCTGCTTCCCTTCGCCGTCTCGTCTTCGCCTCCCTGCTCCTCCCTTCGCTCGCTCCTCCCTTCGTCCTCACTTCTCGCTCGTGCATCTCCGCTTCGTCCTCTCCCCTTCCCTCGTTCCTCGCCGTTCCCCTCTTCGCGATCGCTGTGTTCGCTCCTCCCGCTCCCGTCGCTCCCTCGCTCGCTCCGTCGCTCTCCTTCCTCGCTTTCCTCCTCGCTTCCTCGCTCGTTCGCTCTTCCCGCGCTCTTCCTTGCCCTTCGCTCGCTTTCGCTTCCTCCCCTTCGCTCGCTCGGTTCGCGTCTCCCCTTCGCTCTGCTCGGTTCGCTCTCCCCTCGTTCGCCTCGCTCGTTCGCTCCCGCCTTCGCTCGCTCGTTCGCATCTCCCCTTCGCTCTGCTCGTTCGCTCTCCCCTTCGCTCGTCGCTCTCATGCTCGCTTCGTCCCTCTCCCCTAAAACTCTCTGCCTCTCCCTTGCTCGCCTCGTTCGCGCTCCACCCTTCGCTCGCCATGCGTTCGCGATCTCACCCTTTCGCTCGCTCGTTCGTAGCATCCCCTTCGCTCGCTCGTTCGCTGCTCCCCTTACGCTCTGCTTCGCTCGTTCGGCTCTCCCCTTCGCTCGCTGCGCTCGCTCTCGTCCCTTCGGCTCCGCTCCTCCCCTTCGCCTCGCTCTCCCTTCGCTCGCATTCGCTCGCTCTCCCTTCGCTCGCTCTCCCTTCGCTCGCTCGCTCGCGGTCGCTCTCTCCTTCCGCCTGTTACCCCTTCGCTAGCTCTCCGCCTTCGCTCGCTCTCCCCTTCGCTCGCTCTCTGACCCTTCGCTTCGCTCTCCCCTTTCGCTCGCTCTGTGCCTCGGCCTTCGGCTCTCCCTTGCTTCGGCTCTCCCCTTCGCTCGCTCTCCCCTTCGGCTCGCTCTCCCCTTCGCTCGCTCTCCCCTTCGCTCGCTCCTCCCCCTTCGCTCGCTCTCCCCTTCGCTCGCTCGCTCGCTCCTCTGCCCTTCGGCTCGCTCTCCCTTCGCGTCGCTCGCGTCGCTCTGCCCTTCGCGTCGCTCTCCGCCTTCGTCGCTCTCCCCTTCGCGATGCTTCGCTCTACTCCCTTCGCTCGCATCTCCCTCGTTGCTCGGGCTCGCTCGCTTCTCAGCCCTTCGCTCGCTCTCCCCTTCCGCTCGCTCTTCACCCTTCCGCTTCGCTCGCTCGCTCTCCCCTTCGCTCGCTCTCTCCCTTCGCTCGCTCGCCATCGCTCTCCCCTTCGCTGCCGTCGCTCGCTTCTCCCCTTCGCTCGCTCTCCCCTGTCGCTCGCTCCCGCCCTCGCTCGCTCCCGCCTCGCTCGCTCCCCCTGCTCCGTCCCCCGCTCGCTCGCTCTCCCTCCTGCTCGCGTCCCACCCTCGCTCGCCTCCCCCCTCGCTCGCCTCCTCCCCCTCGCTCGCTCCCCCCCTCGCTCGCTCCCCCCTCGCTGCGCTCCCCCCCATCGCTCGCTCCCACCCGTTCGCTCGGCTCCCCCTCTCGCTTCGCTCGCCCTCGCTCGCTCCCACCCTCTTCGCTCGCTGCGCTCCCCCCCTTCGCTCGCTCGCTCCCCCCCTTCGGCTCGCTGTCGCTCCCCCCCCCTTCGCTCACTTCGCTCCCCCCCTCTCTCTCACTCGCTCCCGCCCCTCTCCGCTCACATCGCTCCCCCCCCTTCGCTCATCGCTCGCCCCCCTTCGCTCCCTCGCTCCCCCCCCTCGCTGCATCGCTTCCCCCCCTGCTCAACACGTCCCGTGCCCCCCCCTCGCTTCACTGTCGCTCCCCCCCCTGCCGCTCACAATCGCTCCCCTCCCTCGCTCACCTCGCGTCCCCCCCCTCGCTCACTCGCTCCCCCCCTCGCTCACCTCGCTCCCCCCCCTGATCACTCGTCCTCCCCCTCGCTCACTCGCTTCCCCCCCCCCTCGCTCACATCGGCTCCCCCCCCTCGCTTCACAGGGTTTCTGCTGCCCCCCCCTCGCTCATCGCCTCCCCCCTCGCTCACTCGGGCTCCCCCCCCTCGCTCACTCGGCTCCCCCCTTGCGCTCACGTCGCTTCCCCCCCCTCGCTCAACGATCGCTCCCCCCCCCTCGCTCACTCGCTGTCCCCCCCCCTCCTCACTCGCTCCCCCCCCCTGCGCTGTCACTCACCCACTGCACTCACTTTGCTCAGCAGCCGCCTCACTCAATGTTGCTTTCACCCACTCACTCCACTTGCTTCACCCACTCACTCAACTTGCTCAACCCCACTCGCTCACCCACTCGCGTCACGCCACTCGCTCACCCACTCGCTCCCCACTCGCCACCCACTCGCTCACCCACTCACTCACTCACTCACCCGCTCTCTCACACTCTTCTTTGAATCAACTAGAACAAACTTTATGTGATTTTCATTAATTTGGCAAATTTCCTCTGTTGCAGTTTATAATAGAGTTCATGAACAGTAAGTGGTTTGCAAGCATTAATCCTTTTCTGGCTGGGCGATTAAATGATGAGAAAGTGCAGAAGAAACTAAGGGCTCGAGTGGAGGGAGTTGCATTGAAGATTGCTACCGAGTGTGGTACAGCCCCTCTGTCTCCAGAAAAGCTCTGTCTACTTTTGAAGGCTGCTGAAAATTTTGACTACCTTAGTGATGGAGTCCTGGCTGCTGTCTTTGCGCGAGTAGTTGATGAATTGAAATCACCTTCGGCATTGGCAGTGTTAAAAAGAGAATTTGGTCAGTTGAAGAAAGAGTTTCCAATCATCTTAAAGAACATTAAGAGAGGACCTGTCCTATTGGTAATTGATGAGGTAAAAATTGTTTGATGGCATGTGACCATAATTGTTAATGGTGATTCTTATTTTCGATGAATTCAATTTAAACCAAATGCTCCAAACAAACATACCCATTGTTCATTTTGTGTCTAGAACGTATAGTATCTTATTAAAATGTTGTTCAGATTAAATAAATGTTATAATTAATGACAATACTATACTAATGACTCAAACATTTTACTAGTTAAAATTTTTGTAACTAATATTAGTTGGATATTAAAACGGATATTAAAACTACTTTTTGTAATTGGTAATTGATATTTTGCCTTCAAGGAGTGGCAGTGTCTACCCTGATGAACAGTTCTAGTGTAATACGTTCGCCCATAACAGAGTTAATAAAAATCTGATTTAAAAAAAGGTGGATTTTTTATTTAAATTGAATTTATTTGTTTACGTTTGATATTTTTTTGTTTAAGTTTGATATTTTTTTGCTTAAGTTTGATATTTTGTTTCTTTAAGTTTGATATATTTTTTGATTAAGTTTGATATTTTTTTTGTTTAAGTTTGATATTTTGCTTTTAATGGGATGTTTTGGTTGGATGTGTTGCTGTAATCGCAATGTTTTGATATTTAAATCTGGATTTTTCTAATTTAAATTTAAATATTCACATTAAGTAAAAAATTCCCAAGTGTGTGAAAAAAAAGACAAAAATTGAAGAGCTCAGTAAAACAATGGGGCATAGTAGAACATTGACCTAGTTCTGAGATATTAAGGGTTTTACTAGAACTTTCATAAAATAATTCTTAAATCATGGATCGGTAAAATCTCTCTGTAATATTTGTTTATACATATCAAGGCCACTTTCTGCAAATAATTAGAAAAAATATTAATCTCTCATAAAATTTTTTGGGGTGTTCAACAATTGTTCTTTTTTTACAAACATTGGTTCTTTTTCTTTAAATACATTTTCTTGCAAGAAAGACATAATAAGTTGACATAAATATGCATTTTTAATATTATAATTATCCAGTTTATAGAAATCACAGCAATTGTTTCATCATTGAAAAATGACATGAGTATACACTGTTCTCTTTTGCAAGTGTTAATGCACACTTTGCACACTTTGGCTGGCACATACTTTGTTGTTTTTTTTTAAATATCTTCTTCTCCACTCCAATATTCCTTCTTTCTAATATTTTCTTTTTAGTTTTCTATATATTTTCCTTTTATTTTATCTTCAAAATTTTTATCGTTCTTTGAAAAATTTACAATAAATAAAATTTTTGATTTATGGACGATTTTTTTTTGTGAATAATTTGATTTAAATAAAATATATCAATCACTTTATTTAAATAATCAAAATCCTGACTCTAATGAAATTTAAATGAGTCAGTTTTTTAAAATATTTTTCTTCCGAAGATATAAAATATTTCATTATCATGATACGATCTGTATTCTCAGTTCATGCATTTCATTGTATGGTTATGCATGTGCAAACCATCTTAATTCAAGCATTCCATAACAGATGCATGTGCAATACTTCTCTGAGTGATCATTTTTAGGATTTGTTCATAGATGTCACTGTCTTTGTCAAGTTTTCATTTCTCATGTTTCAGTATGGTTTTCTCTTTATTTTGTGATTACTTTAACATTTTCATAACTTTGATTTTATTTCCTTATCTTCTTTTATCTTTTTTTAAAGGACCTTCTATATCCATAAATAAGCATTTGCTTCTCACCCAATGCCATTCCTCTCCTTATACTTGTCTTCAATATTTTTGCTTGTTTTTACACTTATTCCTGGCCACCTTTTTTTAATTCTCCCCTCAGACATTCAGTGGTCTTTTAACCACAAGAACCTGATTTCTGCACCTCAAAGAACAGTATCCCAAGCGATTGTTTTTTTTTCAGAAGCATTTACTGTAAGGCATTAGCTTGCAAATAAATTATTGATAAGATTACCCCCTACAGTTCAGGTTTCATATTTTTAGTTAATAAGCTTCCTCGATAATTAATTCCTTGCTCTGTATTTCTCTTGCCACCAATTGTATTTTACTGGTACTAAAAGTTTATTTCTGTTGAACAGAAATTGGAGTGTCTTCCATTTGAGCAGTTGGAAATTTTAAGAAAACATCCTGCTACCAGGGTTCCATCTGTCCACGTGACTCATGGTCTTTATGCCGGTACAGCTGCTTATTAACTAATTTGTAAATTCTTACAAGATTATTTTGTTCTACTTATAGATTGTATTGTCTTGATTGTTAATTGAATTATTGTTATTAGTTCACAGAAACTCCATAGAGAATGGATTGCTGAATGTAGATTATCAATCTGGCTTCTACATCATTAATCCTGGGGAAGATTTGAAAGACATGGAGGAAAGGATGTCTTCCTTCTTGCTTCCTCGAGTCCCCGAGTGGAAGGGTTTGCTTGGCCAACAGCTGTCTCCAGAAGCCTGGAGTCAGGCTGTCACTGACAATGACATTTTTGTGTCAGTCTTGAAAGTATTTTCTGCCTTGCCTAAAAATATGATATATGTTAAATGATATCACAAGATTAATTTGTGAATTTTAATAATAATGTATTGCTTTGGGTCATGTAGACTGTAACTATCAATTTGTCACTTCACGTTTTTTTATGGATTCTATACAAATGTAACATAAAATAACTATTTTCCATTAGTGTGTTTTCCCTAGGAGATTAATACGTTTCGTTGTGAGGTCAAAATAGGCAATTTTAAAAATGCAACAAGTGGGTTCCTAATATACATGTTCTGACATAATAAGACTTGACTGATAAAGACAGCAAAGTATGTATTGTTCTTTAAAAGTACTTCTTGTTGCATCTATATTGTAAGCAAGTTGCAATATCCCACAAACTAGCCAGACTGAAACAACTTACATCTTATAGAATGGCTGAGAGGTGTCTTCAACATAATTGAACATTAGTAATTGCAACAATACCTTCAATTTTGGGAACAAAATATAATTGCAAAAGAACAAATCAAGGTATTAGTGTAGATGATTTTTTTTTTATTCTGGTGTGTGGTGACCATTCAAATTACCAACAAACAAATTCATTTAATTTACTTATCCATAAAGTGTATTGTTCCACTGTCTACCTTTTCCTGCTGGTTTGTTGGTGGATTCTAGAATGAGTAAGTTGTTTATGTCTCCAAATTTCTCGAAAACTCTGTCTGACAGGTACATGGGCCATGGGGGTGGAGGTCAGTATTGGAATGTGGATCAGTTGGAGGGAGGAATTCGATCCCTATCTCTGCTGTTTGGCTGTCAAAGCGCTGGCTACAAGATAATGAAGGGCAGTGTCGAAGTGGATGGGACTTTGCAAGCCTACCTAGCTGCTGCCTGGTGAGTAGCATTGAATTAACTTTAATGTAGAACTACAAGCAACCAATATTAAAGGTTCAAAAAGGAAGAATTACTTTCACATTCAATAGGTAAATTTGAATTGCAGGGTTGTATAAAAAAGTGGTTTTTATTGAGTTTTTTACTTTTTTGTTAATTTGAGTTTCCATCTTAAAAATAGACTTACTCCTTGTATGTCTTTTGAGGAGTAATGACTAAAAAGCATTAAGCTGCCTCATCATTTTAAGTAGATTTTAATGCAGATTAGTGTTTGTAATTCTTTTTGAATTAGGAAGTGAAGATTCTGGAATAGAGGACAATGACCAAGTAAATGTGATGGCTAAAGTAATGAATGAAGCCAGAAATTATTTTAAACAAATGTTATTTTCTCTAACCTTAGGAGAAGTCAAATTTCTCAAAGAAGGAAGCATTGCCAATTCCTTGAGGTAGATAGGACACAAACAGTTTTTATTTGTGGATATTTGGTTTTCAGCGTTTTGAACTATCAATTGCTCATTTCATGAAATAATTTGTTTTAATTTATCTCTCGTCCCATTGTGCTGTGTGCATTTCCCTAAAAGAGAATCCACATGCATTTTACATTGAAACATTTTCTGTTGATAAAGAGTGTATTGTTATGTAGTGCTCTTGAACATTCTTCATACACGTTATTGACTTTCTTTGATTTAATTTATTTCAAATTTGTCTGATCTCAGAGGTGTGAATGAAATACCACTATGTAAGTGATGTGAAAATTCAAGTATTATTCTTAACTTATAGCAGTAGTACCCATACTTTTTTGATTTGTGGCTCTCTTTTTTCATGGGAGAAATTCTGGCACATCCATAGAGTGGAAGGAAACCTTCAAATGCAGATTACGAAAATGTAATTATGGAGAGAACTTTTTAAATTGTTCTATTTATCATACAGTTGTGTAATTTTATAGATTAAACCGAGTCTTGTTAAGTAACCACTAGTCAAGTTAAGAATCTGTATCTAAACGTAAGGATAAACATGGATACACTAGAGTACACCAGTTCATGCAGTTTTGTGACATAAATCCCCAAGTGAAAAAGTATTCAAATTAGGGTATATTTTCCCTCTCAAAAGTCTTTCCTTCTTTATCAGCCCACTTGTGTGGTTACAGGTAATAAGAGCAATGTATTTAGACATATAAAATATTTGTGTTCTGTGTGGTGTTGTAGCCCCTGCCTGGTAGGACTGCTGTGGAATGTGACAGATAGGGACACAGACCTGCTAGCACAGGCCATCTTGAATCAGTGCCTGCCCCGGTCCAAGAATCCACCACCGCCACCAGCCAACGAGCGCAAAGGCAGGAGAAAAGGTAAATTAACTTCCCGTTTTCACAATTCATCTGGAATACAACGGCAATGGCGTCATCATTGCATTATTCCGTGTCGTTCACTCTTGGTCCAGCATGGTTTATCTATATTTTTCCTTTAACTGTTCTAATGTTTAATAATGATAATACAATATACAAAAGTCTTTCGAATATGAACCAGAATTTGTAACTCAGCTTTATTAGTGATGATTAAAAATACAAATGGAGTCCTTTATTTTTCTACATAATTTCCTTCCAATCGAAGTAAATTTTCTCCATCACATAGGAAGCTTCATGGAAATAGTTGGATAATAGTGGTGCTACAACAGCACATACTTTCTTGCTTTATTTCTGATTTTGCAATTTTTGGAAATTCAGCACAACAAAAATGAGACCACTTTCTTTTAAGTGTTCCTTCATCTATTCCTTCTTCCATGGCAAAAGTTTGAAAAACAATTTGGAACAGTGTTTGAGACAAAAATTAAAGTTGTCTACATTTTGCGCAAAATTACACAAAACCTATTCATATTTTCGAAAAATTGAATATGACCATCTTTCAAGATGTCTTTAAAGAACAAATTTCATTCAACGTTATTAATGTTGTAAGAAAACGCCCGAAAATTTTTCTCTTTTTCAATTTTCGAAAAATCACGGAGTTCAACGAACATGACATCCGTTCTCTTAAGGCGAAATTTACCGAAAAATACTTGCAGGAAAATTCAATAGATGGCAATAAAATTCCGATCAATATTTCATAGATCGGAAGCGCACCGCTGTGGCGACGTGGGAAGGCGTCCTTAGACCCCTTCCGACACAACCGCGCGCTTCCGATAAGCGGAAGGGCTCTTCCGAAGCCGCCATGGCTGCACGGCACGGGCGCACCGCCGCCCGTCGAAGAGGAGGGAGGGTTGGGGGGGGGGGACTTTGGCTCGAGGTTTTCAGAGCGAAATCTACGAAAAGACGAACTAATTTCTTCCGATGTTACACAGAAGAGTGACATAAGAAAATGTTTTCAAATATTTTTTAATGCTTGTTTCTAAGTTTTATTTCCTTAATTATCTGAGCCAATGATAGGATAAACTTTAGATTATTCGATTGCATAACAATAAGATCAGTAGTTTAGTTTCATATAATTCTGAGAGATGCATTGCTATTATTTAAACTCTGAATTGACTGTGAACTCGCTTTTAACTTTAAACTCTGAACTCGCAATTATAACATTGTTGGAGATACAATTTTCAAAAGGGATTTCAAAGTGTCATGGCCTTTTGTTATAGTTTGCGTTGATGTTACACTCAAAATGAAAAGATGTTTTGGAAATAAGACACAAGAGTTATCCAAAATGCATTACTGTTCAGACAATGCAAACAATTAGACAAAGGACCTTGGGAAAGAGAAAGGGGGTTTCTATTAAAATTCTAATACCACCAAAGACTGAATTTATCGCTCTAACCACCTTAATCGTGCACTTGACGTGAATCCGCTGTTGCCGTTTCATCCAATCCGGAGCTTAATGTTGCTGCATTGACGTCACTACGGGGACGTTGAAGCTCCCGAGTAGATGAAACCTTGAACAGATGATTTACATCAAGTGTATGGTTAAATAAATCCTAGTGTAGACCATTGTAGGTCCAGAACCGCCAACTGTGAGCTCGGTGTGGTTGTTCCAGGGCGTGGCGGAGCGGGCGCGGAGGGGCCGTCGACGCCGGGGGCGCTGGCGGCGCCGCGGGAGCCCGAGGTGGCGCGCGCGCTGACGCTGGCCCGCGAGGCGCCGCGCATGCTGGTGACGCGCGTGGCTGCCGTGCTGCGCGGCCTGCCCGCGCGCGTGCGCTTCCCCCGGCACCGCCCCCGATCCAGTTAGCCCATCTACATCTAATGTTAAAAAAAGATGCTAATTATTTTATTAGTGCGTCAATAAATTATCTTATGTTAAAATTTTGTAATTTCACCGAACACTCCTCTTCTGTTATTAACATTGTGCCTTTAAATGAATTGAAAGCAAACAATATCATATATCATTTTGATTAACAGTCGACTGTAATTTTTAAATTAAAATTTTCAATTTTTGATAAACTTTGAAATGTTTGTAAACTGTATATATATTAATTTGCATTTATACATATTTTAAATCATAATTTGATCGGAAACTAGACCTAATACTGATTTCTTCTTGCAGCTTCTTAAGGACTTCAAAAAAAAACCCATTGGAAATATTTATAGTACCTGAAAAGAAAAAAATACTAAAGCATTGTACAATACACACAAAATCAAAATAACTTCAAGCCTGTTTTCACTATAATGTAAATTCGTTAAGTCTTCCAACTCATTATTATTATTATTATTATTATTATTATTATTATTATTATTATTATTTAGCAATAAAATTTTACTTCAAAAAAGACTACTTTTAAAGATTTAGAACACCCTACTCAAACTTAACTACAGGGATATTGTAACATTTACTGGACCGAGCTCTTAGGAATCTTATAAAACTTATAATGACAGATATAAACTCATTTCAATGAGTTGATTAAATCAACTAAAAAATTTGTAATAATTTTGACATTATATTCTCTATAATAAGTTATACTATCCCAACTGACAGAACTAATTAAGCAATTTACTTGCCAATTACAAGATGGGTTAGAGGAAACAACAATAATTGTCAATCTTTGAGTGCTCCGACAATATCTTAAGATAACAATCAAAATAAGTATTTTTAAATTAATTTTACAAATGGACTATACTCTTAATTATGATTTATTTTGGTGCATTGTGTGTTTTTATGTAAATGAATAAATACACCAACTGAGAGAACTGTACACAAATTTATACTTTACAATGGTTGTCTTTTATGTTTCGGGATTTGGCAACCCTGGTGTTGCAGTCTGGCAACTGACAGCTCTATCGTAAAGTTGGATGTTTTGAAGTTATACGTACTCAGAACGTTTTGACATACGAGCGCTATTTGTGTTGTTTACAGTAACTTAAAAGATTCATCTTGACCCAAAACTGGAATTAAATCGTGAACATTTTCATGTGATTATTTGTTACAACTTTCGACGTGGATTAACTCAGTAACAGCGCATGGATGAACTTAATTCAATTTTTGGCGATGAAGCTCCATCAAGGACCAGTGTTTATTGATGGCATAGTGAATTCAATCGTGGTCGTAGTTCACTCCAAGACGAATTTCGCGAAGGTCGTCCAAAATCAGTTCCGAAAACCATTGATGTGCGTGAACTGATATTACAAGATCGTCATGTGACCTATCGTGATATTAAGACAACCTTAGGCATTAGTGTAACCAGCATACATTCAATATTGTATTAACATTTGTCTGTCAAAAAAATTTGTTCGCGTTGGATCCCACGCAATTTGTCAATCGCTCAAAAAAAGGCTCGTGTCGATAGGTCGAAAGAAATGCTCAAAAAATACGATCGCGGTGCTTCGAAACACGTTTATGACATCGTGACAGGCGATGAATCGTGGATTTACGCGTATGAGCCCGAAAGTAAACAGTCGACTGTATGGGTGTTTCAAGATGAGCAAAATCCAACAAAAGTTGTTCGCGCACGAAGCACTTCCAAACAGATGACAGCCTGCTTTTTCGGACAAACTAGACATGTCGCAACCGTACCATTATTACAACGCAGAACAGTCAACACTGAATGGTACACAACGATTTGTTTGCCAGCTGTTTTCCAAGAAATCAGGAAAACCAACTGCCGTAGACGGATCACTCTTCACCACAATACTACGAGCTCTCACACATCGGCTCAAACAACTGCATTTTGGAGCACCTAAAACATCGATTTGATGAGTCATCTGCCGTATAGTCCTTTCTTGGCACCGAATTCTTTTTATTCCCGTACGTAAAAAACAAACAGGTCACGTTTTTCGGCACCTGAAGAAGCGGTTGCGGCATTCAGAATGCATGTTTCGGAGATACCTCAATCAGAGTGGCAAAAGTGCTTCGACAATTGGTTCAAAAGTGTATAGATCATGGGGAATATTTTGAAAAAAATAGTGATTTTTGATGATTAATATTTGTTTTTGTTCTCTAATCCTTAAATATAAAAGACAACCCTCGTATTAAAGCTGACGGTTCCGTATTGGGGATTTTCGTTTTCAAGTTGGAAATTGTGAATTATAAATATATATTTCTCAGAACTTTATTACAAAATGTTGCCACTAGCGGGTTTTGTGGACTTCATGTGGAAAATTAGTTTATTAAACATCGACAACAAAATCATCCAAAAGCATTAAGTGTACAACATTAAATATGATTAACTTTTATTGTGGGGAGTTTTAACCCTCTAGCCCACATCCTACCTACATACTTATCACTAGATGAATTCGCAATGAAGTTGTTTTAAGATCGCTTTCTAAGAAAAATTGAACTTTCTGGTGCTAATATTTGCAGTAAATATTTCTGCCAATATCTTAATTATTGAAGCATAAATATTTTAATCATAAAATCACAATTAAAATATCCGAGAATAATTGAACAACTTTTGCCAATGATTCTCAAAAATGTTCGCTGCTATTAACTCACTAGATGCGAAAATAATGAATTATCATATGCTTTTTTTACATGGAAAGTGGATATTTTCAAAGGAATGGGGTAACCCGTACTATCCAGCATGTGAGATCTCACAAACCAAATCTCCATACTCCTCGCGGAACCGCCTGTGTTGCATTACATCGCGAAGAGTCGAATGGTAACTCAGTCACATGGCTTTTCTATTATATCCTGGTAATAGACGAGTCCCCCCCCCTTTCTTCCTCCAGGTGTCTTACTAATTCTAGCTGTACCAGTAAAAAATCACATACCACCCTCCAACTGCTTTCAGTATCAAGCAAATGTGCAACCATGCTTAGTGAAGTCATCCAGCGTATCCCAAATATCACAATGATGATTTGCTATTGAGAGTCGATACGTGGGCATTGAAAAAACGCCTTTTCTATGTTTTCAACAGAAGCTTTGCACATATAACAGTATGGGATATCATTCTGTGTTAACCTGTACAGTTTGGCTGTGAGGCAATCATGTAAGCGCAACCTTGGCCATGAAGTGTCCATGACCCTTCAGAAGCTGAATGAGATTGATCTTGCCGTGCTTTCGACTAGGAATTAGTCGGTAATTCCACCTTCCTTTGGAGAAGTGTTCCGTTGTTACTGCTATTCTGCTAATGGTTCCGAGTAGTTTTACATCCCATAACGCCTCTGTCGTTCACTAGCCATTATATATACAGGGGTCAATCTGGCTACGACATAAACTCTCAATTGAGACGGTGCGAAACGCACATGGACTCGCTCAGGACGTCACATATACCCCACAGCAGTGGACCTAGCGCCGAACCTTGCGGGACGCCGGCAGTTACGTTGTGTACCTTCGGTCCGTCCGTATTGTACCCTAGAATTCTGCGATTGAGGTGTTCAGCCGTATCAAAGAGGTAGCCACGTTGATTCGGTGGAGTGCCTCCACATTGTAGAGTGAAGGTAATATGAAATGTTTTGACGTCAAAGTACTCTTTTAGATCCCATTTCCATCTACTCCTTCAAGTGGCATGTTGAACAGTTTCAGCGACAAGCTGAACAGCGTCTACTGTTGAGCAAACCTTGCGGAAACCATACTGATTCTCTGCGAGATTGTTTTTCTACTGCCTCTTCCAATCTTGAGCTAATGATATGCTCGAAAGCCTTCCGCCGCATCGAGCATGAGCAGCGACCGGTAAGATGCCGGCTTTTCAGTTTTCTCTCTTCAGAAAAAGTAGGTACAATGTAATTTGTTCCATCAGTCGGGAAATACGAAGGGCGTTCAAAAAATTCCCGGAATGGTGGTTCAGCAATTATGGTCTATGGTAATACTTACCTAATCACCTTTAAAGTAGGACCCTTGCGGTTGCACACACACTTGCTCCATCGATCCTGCCATTGTTGGAAGCAGCGGTAGAAGGCTTTTTTTGGAATGTGTTGTAGACGAGCCGTCGCATTTGAGTTGATCTCCACGGTTGCAAAACCGCGAGAACCATTTTAGAGTAGGGAACAGCCAAAAGTCACTGGGGGAGAGATCTGGAGAATACGGTGATTGAAGGACTACAGGAATGTTCTCGGCGAGAAATTTATGCACGTCAAGCGATGTGTGGCTTGGTGCGTTATTGTGATGCAGACGCCGCTGTCGTTACCACTTGTCCCGTCGCTTCTTTCGAACCGCTTCGCGCAACCTCTGCAAAACTTGCACGTAGAAATGGCCAGTAATAAATTGCCCAGGCGGTACATACTCGTGGTGCACAAAACCATCGATGTCAAAGAACGCAATGAGCATGATTTGATTTTGGATCTGAGGCGTGATTTTTTAGTCTTGGAGACGATGGTGTGTACCACTCCGATGATTGGAGTTTCGTCTCCGGATCGTAAGCGAACACCCAAGTCTCATCACCAGGGACGATCTCCTGGAGAAACGTTCACTTGTCTCAAACAGCTCGCCAGCGATTGCCATGCGAGTGTTCAATTGATCTGTGCTCAGCTGTTTCGGAACAAACTTCGCACTGACTCGTCTCATTTTCAAATCGTCGGGTAAGATGGCGTGAATTGAACCACTTGAGAAGCAAACTTCTTGCCCCAACTCTGCAATTCGATCATCTCGAATCACTTGCTCCACTTTTTGAATCATTTCCTTGTTTCGGGATGTCGACGGTCTCCCTCGTACATCTTCTCTCAGATATTAATCGTAGAAATCCGCGAGAAGACTTCACTACGAGCGGATATCACAATTTTGAAGGGGGTGTTGGGGATACTATTCAGTCCTGGAGTCTTAGTGTTATCAATGATGCTGATTACATTCTCAATCTCAATGGCTGGTGGTATCAATTCTGTACTAAGTGTCGTTATTTATGTCAGCGTACTGGAGTGTTGTGGGAATAAAGTCACAATTCTCAGAATTGTTAAGAGGCAGGGGGAGAGTGGGAATGCGACTTTATAAACTTGCCCATGGTCGCATTGCGTGGCCTACCCCGTTTATCTACTTCATCGCACAGCTTTTACCGCAAAACATTTACTTTCTCAGATTCAAATCAACTAGTTCCAATTTATATTTTATTTCTGCCAATTTATATTCTTGTTGTTGAACAAAGGTATAAACGCAACGAGCTCGCTGATACGGTCTTGTGACTCGGAGACAGTCGATGCTGTTGAGTTGTGCCTTTGTTCCATCCAGTGAACTGGTCGATTCCTCTTCTGGGTATAGCTACATCAAGTTTTGGTTATCCAGCTGGTAATTTGGCCAACTTTTGTCTCTGTCGGCGCTGATGGTACAACATTCTCCAAAGATGGAATACTGGAAATTCATCAAACGCTTTCTCTTACCTTACATCCCGGTTCAACATTTCCCTCCTTTCGTTTATATATCACCTCGCATAGAATTGCCCGGTGGTTGCTGCATGTGGTATTCACTGCCCCTCCAAGATCCTCCCATTCTCAACAAGCTACCTGACATAAACGTTACATCACAGATCCGTCACCAGTTCTGGCAGTGTATCTTCGGTGTTCAAGAGCACTCCGTTCTAGAAAGAGAAAGATTCTAGCACAGCTCGATCTCTTTTTGTTCGTTGTCGAACGAGCAACGCGGTGAAGTCTCCGCCTATCATGAGAAGGCTGTCCTATAGCGACGACAAAATCCAGTCCTGTCGGTCAATCCGTCCAGTCGGTCCGGCGCCTTCCTACAACTAGGCTC